CACACCTGCGATAGGATCGTGTGTTTATCTCTTACCATCAGAGAGGAGACATAAAGCCTCCAGGTTTCTGATATGACCTGTGGGTGAACTTGATTTTCTGGCATGTCAGACAATTTCTCTTATGGATGATTCAGCTGAACTACAGTATATAGGAAGCAACAGAGACAACATCTGGACAGGCCCATCCAAATTCAGTGAAAAACACAAAGCACGAGGCAGAAATTTCTGCTCATGAGGCAGAATGTTTTTCTGACTTTTAGTCATTGTATAGAATCCAACTTAAAGTTTAATGCAACCATCCTTACATGTCTAATTTTTATAACACAAGTATTGTTTTTTCTTGACTAAGGTTTCTGAGGGGTGTAGGGGGCTCTGGATAGAGCACCTTTGTTGTCCGGCAGCTGGATTCTGCTTGGTAGAGTGGCCGGACACCACCGGTTCTCATCCATCCCCTAAATCTTTCATGTGTTGGCTCCAAGTGCCATACCCTGGTACACCAGTTCAGCTGGCGGGTGAAACCACGTGAGGGGGTGGTGAGTACACTGCACCACTAGGTGGATGAACTGCATTGTGCAGTACTCTTACCAGGGCGGAGGAGTTCCACTGTGAAACCAACGGCCAAGTGTAGAGGAGTAAACCTTATAAATCAGGAGTGGGGCCCCGAAGGCGGACCGATGCGGCAGATCACCACCGCTCCAACAGCCAAGCTGGTGCCAAACGTATTGCTCTGCTCTCCTTTGGACTACATCAGTGAGGCCGAGAGGGGGGTTCTGAAGTTTGGGCATCTCAGGATCCTCTTTCAGGATCCTCTTGCACTATTGCCCAGGCTTGCACCCTGGAGAGGTCACTCCAGTGCCGCTGCTAACAGCAACAGAACCAACACGAGAGGTAGTAGTTACGAGTTATAAGCCTAGAGTGATTGACGTAAACTCGGGAGCTGCGGGCTGCCTCTGACGGTAGGAAGGATCATCGTAGTCCCACTGGTCAGCTACCACCGGGCAGTCCCCAATCAATAAGGTGCTGACCCGCCACAGACTGCCTGCTTCAATGGGTGCTTGGAGCTTAGGGCAAATACCAGAAGAGCAGACTGCAAACCTTGCACCAAGAAAAGTAAGGTTTCTGAAAAGATGTATTTCAATATTGCATTCGCTGAATGACTCTAACGCTGAATAAATAAGCTTTCCATTGATGTATGGTTTGTTAGGATAGGACAATATTTGGCCGAGATACAACTATTTGATCTGTTTTTAAATCTGGAATCTGAGGGTGCAAAAAAATCTAAATATTGAGAAAATTGCCTTTAAAGTTGTCCAAATTAAGTTCTTAGCTATGCATATTACTAATCAAAAATTAAGTTTTAATATATTTACAGTAGGAAATTTACAAAATATATTAATGGAACATGATCTTTACTTAATATCCTAATGATTTTTGGCATAAAAGAAAAATCGATAATTTTGACCCATACAATGTATTTTTGGCTATTGCTACAAATATACCCCAGCGACTTAAGAATGGTTTTGTGGTCCAGGGTCACAAATGTATTTCCATTTCTTACAGCCTCATTAATTAAACGTTTCTCATTTTCCTTAGTAGAGGTTTGTGTACTTGGATGGCAGAGGGAAAAGACATGCCACAACAATCAAACAAGAGATTTACTTGATACTATCAGTTTTATTGAGCCAAAAACCTCCATACATTGTTCATTTCTTCACTCGACTAAATACAGGATTTACAGGATTATATACAGGATTATACTGGAACCACGTACTGGTTTTTATTGTCTGCGTTATCTGATACTTGAATAAACTAAACCAATGCTATCTTAAATACACCTAGCTAGACTCTCAAAAAGATCATCAGCACTGTGGTCAGTATTATAGTGAGAATAGTGAGTATTATTATTATAATTATTATATAATTAATGACTGTTCACTACAAAGTAATTATTATATAAACTGAAATTAAAACTGACAAATTACATGCACTACACACACACACACACACACACACGTT